AATCAGTCGCGCGGAAGTGTATTATCGCCCAGTTTATTTGCTATGCTTATTTCTATGCGCGCTTTGGTCATTTAATCAACCATATCTATACGTTGGCCGAACTGGCGCGAAAAGTTAACGTAAGTGGTTGAATATTCGACCAGTAAGCATTGGTGACACTGAGTTCGAGTATGCCATATACGTAATAATTGTCGTCTAAGTATTTTCTATGCAAATTTCGTGTGATAACAATTTAAAAATATAGAAATAAATGTATCTGTGACTTTTTTTCTTTTTATTTAGTGCACCAAATTTACGTCGCGTATGATATTTTCTAAAATCGTTTACATATGCTGTATATTTTCAATCATTTATCATAGGATGCAAATTTCTCGAAAAACAAAATTTAATTTACTTGATATGGGCATATTTTTGAGTAGGGAGCTAACAGTGATAATCAAAATGAACTCTTTTTTCTTACATTGGATGATACATACAGTTTATACATTATATACATTAGATCATTACATATTATCTATTTGCTTTAAAAGTCTCTGGTTGAAAAATCGACCACCCCTCCCCACTTCCTTATTTGTTTACTTTTTGAAAATGGTTATTGAGAAGATATGCTCCCTTTGTGCTAGTTTATATATTTTTTGAAGTCAATTTTATCAAACTAGAAAATAATTAGTACTGCCCTATAAAGGGTTCAATTAAATATTCGCTGAAACGTATGGTTATTGTGGAACAGAATATACTTGGATTTCTTTGGATTTTCTATTTTGTATGGTACCTACTATTAATCTTTTTTGTGACAATTTTATTTTATACCGAATTTTATCTTATTTATAAATGTCTTCCTGGGAGGGGTAATTACCCCCATTACCCCTCCCGTATATGCGCCCCTGATATGTTACAGTGAAAGTCGGAAATTCAGTGATTGTTAACATTCACTAGGAAATGCTAACAATTACGCATTGGACCAGGAATGTGGTATTTTAAAGAGATTTGTCGACTTTTCCTAGTAATTTCTAACATTCACTAGTGAAAGTAACATTTACTAAAGGTCGCCAGTAAAAGCTATTCTATTGTACAGGACGGAGTGTGGAGGGGATCGAAGAATGTTGGTGGAAGTTAGAACAAATAAAACTTTTAAGAATATTGGATCACATCAATATTCAAGCTGATCCACATATCTTAAAATTACAATTTACTTCTTTAGTCTATTTATTAAAAATTATAGAAAATAACGACATAACCTTCTAAATATTAAAAGCCATAGTAAACGTTTTAAAGCGTACAAAAGAATTAAAAAAACATTCATAAACATAAGATTACTTATTGGTACAAGGTTTTTTTTAATAAAGTTCTTCATCGTGGACAAAATGGTATGCCCGAATTTTCTTCAACTGGAAATTATTCGTTTTTTCAAACCCGCTACTTCAAGCATATCAAAACGTTTAATAAGTTCATAGTTACTAGGTTCTTTAATATTTTTTTCTCTTGCACACTTAACTTTTCTTATGACTTCATTATATTGCAAAAATGAAAAACAAGCACTGTTACATTTTTGCGAGTGCCTGGTTTACTTTAATTTTTCACAGAAAATTTCTTCCGTAGGGAATATACTGTACAGCACTTTTTATAACGATAACAAAACAATTATACATAACCACAAAAAACAAAGCGAATTTACGAGATGTCTGTCAACGTTGCCAACGTTTAGCCTAATTTAATATTATCCTTATGTTGCCTTTTATTCAACTTATCCTGATTTATCCATATATTTTACAACATGTGGCAACCACGCTAACTGAATCTTTCAAAGTCACTGCCATCGTCCAGGGAATGTTAACATTCACTAGTAAAAGTTGGTTTCAAAAATAGCTGTTGAACTTTTACTGGCGTAGTCTTAGCATATCAGTGAATGTGAGCTTTTACTAGTAATTGTTAACAATCACTGATTTCCAACTTTTACTGTAACATATATATGTATAATTTGTGAATAATTATACATACAACATATTAAGAAATGTATCACAAACCAAAACTAATTTTTCTGTGAGATGCTGGCTTATTCCATGTTCCATCCCTTGACCAGATATCTGGGATATAATAAATATTTTTTTATTAAATTGACATTTAATTTTTATTATAGCCATTAACAAATAATCTATACCTACTAATATATAAAATCATTAAGTGACTGACTCACTGATTAATCACGATCCTGCTCAAACCACTCAACGTAAGAAGCTCAATTTTGGCATACAGGTTGATTCTAGGGTGTAGAGGTTCGATAAGAAGGGATTTTTCGAAATTCCAGTTCCAAGGGGGTGAAACCACCTTTCAAATATTACAATATTTTTTATTTAAAAAAAGGTCAAGTTTCCGAAAAAACGTTTAAGCGCGTATATTTTATTTTGTTTTTTTTTACATATTTTAAGATTATTTAAAAATGTATACAGGGTGTTTCGAAAAATCTGGTCATTGATTAATCACGAGCCTGCTTATAAAGCGCTTGACGTAAAAGGCTGATTTTTGGAAAACGGATTCACTTTAGGGTGTAGAGGTTCGATAAGAAGGGATTTTTCGAAACTCGAATTCTAAGGGGGTGAAACCACCCCTCAAATATTAGACTATTTTTTATTTAAAAACCGGTGAGTTTTCCGGAAAAACTCTTAAACACGTATATTTTATTTTGCTGTTTTACATATTTCTTAACATTTTACAGGGTGTTTCATAAAGATTCTGCTTAAACTGCTTGACGTTTATAGCTGATTTTTGGCAAACGGATTGACTGTGGGGTGTAGAGGTTCGATAAGGAGGGTTTTTTCGAATCTCAAATTCCAAGAGGGTGAAAACGCCCCCCAAATATGACAATATTTGTTATTTAAAAAACGGTTAGTCTTTCGGGAAAACGCTTGGACACGCATAATTTATTTTGTTTTTTTTTGCATATTTTGAAATTTTTTATAAAAACATACAGGGTGTTCCAAAAAGTTGGGCAATTGATTAACCACGATTCTGCTTAAACTGCCAAAATATAATAATATCGCCATATTGTTTTTTCTCATGCTGACATAAATGTGAGAAAATTTTATCTAGTTTGTATGTTAATGGAAATTCTTTATTTGCTTTATCATCACCATTACAAATGATTAATTCGACGCGAACGAGTCGCGGGTACACGCTAGTTTAATTATATTATAACACAAATGTATGTTTCGAATTTAAGTCTAAATAATCGTAATAATAACCAACTCAGTAATAAATATTTGAACAAAGATAAGTAGCCCACAATAGTACAAATATTACCACATTTTTTTTATCGCATATCAAGATTATGAAACTTTAAATAAAAAAGGTTTAGAAAAAATTATTATTTTTTCACAACCTTCTTTGATAAAAATTCACTTAAGAAAAAACTTAAGTACACTTATTAATCAGCCTTGGCTTGAGATATTAAAATTATTTTTTTACATTATTTGTTAAGGAAACTTTTCGACTTTTGTTACATATTTGGCACCAATTTATTTAGGTAGATTGTCCTAAAGGTAAGTTCACACCATCGCATCGTAGAAAAAGCAGAACTGGGAATTGGCGTAATGGCAGTAAAAGTTGTAGCTGTCCACGTCCACACAACACTGAAATTATGGTCAATACCACCGTCTAAAGATAGTGTCAATACTGTCAACTTTTATATACTTAAATAGGCAAAGAACGGATGAAAAAACGCCAAACTGAGTAAAACCAAAACATAAACACACGAGAGAAATAATGAAAAAGTACAGGAAAGATTTAAATGAAATATCTGTCAAGTTACGCCATTTCAACAGTACGCCATTTGCCAAGTTGAGTTAACTTTTGGTATAATGGCTTTGTATACGCGAAAATTCATACGTGAAAAAGTTCAGCCAACAGAATTGCTGGAGATTCACATGCTGATCTGCCGTTTTGCTTTTCCTACGATGGTGTGGCCTTACCTTAAATCTTATATCAGTTGTAATTTTAAAAAAAACTTTATTCTTGAAATAAACGTTGTATATAAGTTGTAATTAAAAAAAAAGTAAAAATTCAAAAATAAGTGTAATTAAAAAAAAAACAGTCTCAAATTAAACGTTGTATACCGGGTGCGTCTCAAAAGTGGATCAATCCTATAATTTTTTTATTTTTTCAGTTGTATGAGATTTCGTATGTGTGACATAAATTAGGATTGACTGACGTATTCAATTGTTTCCGGTCACTTCCTGTTTCACCGGAAATGACTACAACTTTTGATTTTTAATTGACATCCATGGTATTTTTTAACATTATGGTATTTTTTTACATTATTCGATAGAAAATGACACTCTGTGAATAGAATGACATATCATATCACTTTTGACATTTTCGCATATGGTTTATTTCAAATTGTAACATGTGGTTCATAACGACAATCTGACTCGAAATACCAAGCGTGTGGTACCAAATTATTCGTAAAAAATGGTTTTCCCAAATATGCTAATAAGCCACCCTTGTTCCATTTGAAGAAATTGAGATATGATTTAAAATACGATTTGGGAATATTTTAACCGGCCAGGATAAGACGATCAAATCTATTTTTCCAAGGCACCTTGATTAAAAATTAGTGTTTTTAACACAGCCATGGCACTCTAGATTAAAATTTAAAATTCGATTTATTTTTGCGAAAATATCAAAAGTTCTATTAAATATCAAAAGAGTCATTCTATCGGAGTCATTTTATTCAGAGCGTCAGTTCCTAACCAATAAAGTAGAAATCGAGGTAGAAATATACCGAGGGTGCCATTTAAGAATCATAAGTTGTAGTCATTTCCGATGAAACAGTAAGTTATTAAAAACAATTAAATATGTCAATTAATCCTAATTTATGTCATATACTAACATACAAAATCTCGTTTTTTTTATCTGAAAAAATAAAAAAGTTGTAAGGGCGAGCCACTTTTGAGACGCACCCAGTATAACTGTCTAAAAACAAAAATAAAAACAGTTTTACTCACCCCTTTGTAGGAGTTTGACTCATTCTGCCTTGTTTTCTTCACGATTTTGGGCCGATAACAATATTTAATGACCAAATACACTTCACTTTTATTGTTTCTATATAGTACACCTATTTCACATTAACAAAGCACGAATTTTTATTAAAACACACCCGCATATTTCGAATTAGTCTTATTTACCAAAGATTTATCTCTTAAACTATCCTCACATTCCGCTCAACATCAGCGTATTGAAGGGATTATAAAATATTACGCCGGTGATAACAACAGACGAGACGCACATATAAACAAACGGTACCACACTAAAACGATGAAGTACCAGCAGCAATCGAATTGCGAATTGTATTTTTTTTGAAGCATTGCTACAAATTTATAATGGCTAAAGTTTAGAAGGTCATATCCGTGAACCATGCGGTTGGTTGATGGTTGGGTCTTTTGAAACAATGTATTGTTTTTGTATTATTGTATAGAAAAAAAGGATTGGTATGCAATGTATTTTTCCGGTTATTGCATAAAATGGAAAATTGACCCTGATATTGAGGAAAATATAAAAATATATCGTACATAAAAGATCTACAAGTTTATGATAAAACTCGGAAAATTCTGAATATACAAAGGATCTACAGAGGGTACAACTGATGATGGGAACTACTTGATGTTGATATAACAAAATTCATATCTAGGAAAGGCTTAAATTTTTGTGATAGTACCGTAACGATAAAAGAACGGCAGTTGGCTTGGAAATTATGATCGATGACATTCTCCATTTATTTTTACATACAAATTGACAGCGATATTCATTTCAAAGCCATATCTGGCACTGTTTTATTTTTGATCATATTGTATCTATGTTCTGTAGTGTCGATCTTGCTAACATATTTTCGACATGTCCGTACCGATTATACTGGGACTATACAGGGTGAGTCACAAGTGCAAATATTTTCAGGCCATCTCAGATCTCCATAAAAGCATAAAAGAAACATATTTCTGTTTACCGTTTTTCAAATAAGTAAAAAATAACCGAGTTATTTTAGCGAAAATCAATTTTTTTCTAAAATTTTGAGAACCACTATCTTTTCTCGGTTTTCTTTTTTTGTAATTTTAATCTCTAATCTATGTTGCCATATTATCAAGATATGATTTTTAACAGAAAATTAAAAAACTTCAAAATTTTCAAGTTTTTTTCGCTAAAAAAACTTCGACTTAGACGTGTTTCTGGGGTCGAAATATACTACCCCTAAAAATATATGCACTTAAGACTCACCCTGTATACCGGGTGCGTTTCAAAAGTGGCTCACCCCTATAATTTGTTTCTTTTTTCAGATAAAAAAACGAGATTTGGTCTGTTAATATATGACATAAATTAGGATTGATTGGCGTATTCAATTGTTTTTGTTCACTTCTTGTTTCACTGGAAATGACTACAACTTTTGATTTTTAAACGGTACCCTCGGTATATTTTTAGTTTATTCGATAGGAAATGACACAATCTGAATAGAATGACATTTCAAGACTTCTGACATTTTCGTTTAAAAAAATCGTATTTTAAATTTCAATCTAGAGCATCATGGCTGTGTTAAAAACTCGTTATAATTTTTAATCAAAGAGATTTGGAAAAATAGATTTGATCGTCTAATGTTTTTCGTGTCTTGTTCTGGTCGGTTAAAAGATGTCCAACTCGTATTTTTAATCTATTTCATTTTTTTTCAAATGGAACAAAAGTGGCTCATTAGCATATTAGGGGAAAGCATTTTTTACGAACAATTTGTTACCACACACTTGGTATTTCGAGTCAAATTGTCGTTATGAACCGCATGTTACAATCTCAAATAAACCATATGCGAAAAAGTTCACATATGATATGTCATGAATGAAGTAAAAAATACCTAGGGTGTGTCATTTAAAAATCAAAAGTTGTAGCTTTTCCGGTGAAACAGGAAGTGACCAAATACAATTGAATACCTCAATCAAACCCAATTTATGTCATATACGAAATCTCGTTTTTTTATCTGAAAAAATAAAAAAGTTATAGGGGTGAGCCACTTTCGAGACGCACCCGGTATATATTTTTTAACTTTTTGTGCTTTAAATAAAACATCTTATATTATACTATTACATTTTAAAATTCTACATGTCTTAAATTTTAAAGAAGAAAGAATTTATTGGGCAAGTCTACAGTAAGATTAGTCATGAGACATGACTAAAACATGACTACCCGTAGACACTGAGTGTTTCTGCCTTCCGGCTTCGTCAATACGGGAGGAATCAGCAATTATGAACTAGCGATCCTGAAAAAAAGAAGGGAAGCAAACGAGGCACAAGAAGCCATTTGCAGCCTGGTTAGGCAGTAGCTTACAATTTGAAGCGTTACTACCGAAAAACCGCTGCGGAGGCGTTCCAACACACCTCGCCGCTATCACCTTGGCCCAGAGAAAACAATAAACAAAAGATGTTATCGTGGAGACTATAATAAAAAGCAAGTCTACAGTAAGATTAGTCATGAGACATGACTAAAACATTACTACCCGTAGACACTCAGTGTTTCTGCCTTCCGGCTTCGTCAATACGGGAGGATAAGAAAAAATAAATTTCCTCCCGTATTGACGAAGCCGGAAGGTAGAAACACTGAGTGTCTACGGGTAGTCATGTTTTAGTCATGTCTCATGACTAATCTTACTGTAGACTTGCCCAATAAATTCTTTATTCTTGTTATTATAGTCTCCACGATAACATCTTTATTTTAAATTTTAAATATATTAATTTATACCTAATGTAAGTACCTGATGATCGAAAATAAAACGGCGTCATGTTGGCTTGGATATTACAAGCGGTTACATTTACTATTTAATTTTACATATATAAAATGAGAGCGATCTTTATTGCCATGCCATTTCCGATGGCGTTTTTTTCATACTAAGTTTTATTATATACAGGGTAAGTCTTAAATAAGTGAAATTATTTTCAGAGCTGGTAAATTTCGACAAAAGAAATATATTTTCTGTTAGCCGTTCTCAAGTAAGTCCAAAATAGCAAAGTTATCGCACTTTGAAAATTAAAAAAAAAGATTTTTGTTTAACTTTTAGCAACCACTTTTTCTGTGTTGTAATAATTTCCCGAAGTTTAATCTACTACCTATGGTGTCATATTATGAAGATATTATGTTTTTTTAACTGAATATTAAAACAATATATTTTCAATTTTTTTGGCCAAAAAAAATCTCATAGATGTTTTCCTGAGACGAAGAAATAAACCACCACTTAAAATATTTGCCCTATTTAAGTCTCATCCTGTATAAATAAATGGTAAAAAAAATCTGTACAAAATATATTTCCTTTTCAGGGTGCAATGACATATATTGTGTAAAAATATCTTCACAGATTTCAGAAAAAAGTTCAAATCTCAATACTTTTATACTATTTTTAATGGAATTGCTTACAAAAACCCTAATTCTTTCGTGAAATACATTATTTGCAACCTTGAACTTTATAGAACAATTTTATTTTATATTTTTTTTTAATAAAGTTAGATCACGATTAGGAAATAGATTTGTGTTTTTTATCCCTTTTATAAAAGGTAATGGCATAACATAGCAAAGAAGAATATGAACGCTTAATAATAATAGTAAGTCCGCAGCTAATCTTCTTCGGAAATACAGAGTGTGTCTTAAGAGTCCATTTGACTAGTCCGAAAAAGTAGCCAAATGAGCGTTCGGCATTTAACGTTTTATGTAAAACTGGCTAGGTATTTTTACACAAATGAAGAGAGAAATTAAAGATAAAGGATTATACCATATCCGTATTGTAGCACATTTTTAGACAACTTTTATTTTTAAGATTTTGATTTTTGATGGTCAAACATCAACAAAATATTCCTTATTTTTGGACTAAATTTTCTCGAAAATAAAGACATAATTTAAAATTCCGTTACAATACGGAAATAGAAAGAAGTTTTGTGATTACAGTGATATATAATTTACATGGTTATGTAACAAATTGCTCGCTATTTTATGGCAAATGCTGAAGCTCTGCAATCCTTAATCAAGCCTTAATTAAAGCACGTGTGTTTGGAATTTTGCATGTGGTTTAAAAAGGACAGGATCGGGCTAAGCCTTAGGCAGAGTTCTGAAATATAATATATATTTCTTTCGGCCACACACTCGCTTTACCCAACCCTGAAAGCGATCCGAAGACTAGAGCGTAATAGAGTCTTATATATGTGCAAATATTTTTGAGAGTGGCATATTTTTACCCTAGAAACACGTGATATTTGAATTTCTACTCCTAGCCTCGTAAGGAGTAAAAAAATACTCCTTACTTTTTATTTAAAAAAATTGTATTTTTCTAAACATTTTTGGAGAAATTTTCAATTTCCAGTTAACAAATATATAATCTTGATTCTACGGCAACATAGGTAGTTCTTTAAATTTAGAGGAAGAAAAAAATCAGGTGGTTTTCAAAATTTAAGTAAAAAAATATTTAATTTTTAATTTTTACAGTGAGATAACCCGGCTATTTTGGATGTATTTGTAAGTCGGCAAAGAGAAATTGTTTCTTTTACGGAATATCCATCATCTCTGAAAATATTTTGCACTTATTTAAGACTCAAGCTGTATAACAAAAAAATACAATTTAAATACCACTGGATTACCTAAGATATATTTTTCAGTTCTGGGTTCCTTATAGTAGTTGATTTTACCTATTGGTAACAGTATATGACGATACTATGCTAACATAAGTATATCCTATTATTCAAAATCATTTAGAATTCCCAAAGTAATTTATTAAATAAAATAAAGATTTTTTGTTATCAACGAACTGAACTAAACCGCTGTACCTAGACCTTGAATTAAATTACTTTGCACTTTTATTATTGCATTGTGTTTGGGAACAAGCAGTAAGTTATAATAATTTTAATTGTATGCAAAAATTGGATCAGGTCAAATGCATTTGAGCGACAAGCGACAAGTCTGACGCCGCAAAGGTTATTCAAAGAATGCAGTCCGAAGCTTTTGTAACCTTATTAATATTTATAGGTGAAATGTAATGTTCTAAATGGGGATCTTGAAATTCATATATAGAATGAAGAGGGTTACTGCCAGTGACCACAAAATTTTAACTATAATTTAAAAAGGAATTTGAACTTGTATCGGCATTTTTTATATAATATATGAATGAAGAGAAATATACGAGATAAATTATATTTAATATAAAAAATAATTCTTTTACAATTCATTTATAGGGCCAGGGGCGTCCACTGTGTGGATACACAAGCATAAGCATCAAAACTAATCAGTATAGCTACT